CTCCGTCACCAAACATGCTCGCCAACACAGCTTTACAAATATGGAGTATAATGTGAGTAGGCCTAGTATGACCTAGCGGTTAGGGGGCGCTCGAAGTGCAAAACTCCGTCACCAAACATGCTCGCCAACACAGCTTTACAAATATGGAGTATAATGTGAGTAGGCCTAGTATGACCTAGCGGTTAGGGGGCGCTCGAAGCACAAAACCCCGTCACCAAACATGCTCGCCCTTTTACCTGTGGGACTTTATAATGTGACGATCAGGCCCACTATTCGTTGGTAAAAGAGTAGCCGAAGAGTTGGCGGTGGGTGGTGTTGACTAGCTGCCTTCCACTCTATTCTATTACTGCTAAATTATGGGCGACTAGTGCAGATAGCCCTCGAGTAGCTTAGCGCGAAATTCAAAAGAAACCAATATAATCTGTAGTATTAAAACACAACGAAGTTTTGTCTCATTCAAAGTAAGTTACATATTCTGTGATAAACAGACAGAAAACGAAGCTTAACAAAATAGTAAATTTTGATAAATTCCAAAATAACATACAAAGCAGTCTTACAGACAAAATATGTTTCTAAGAATATCGTACAGCATTAACAAACTGAAATTCCATATTTCCATTTATTATACATTCTCCTTCTCAAAGGTCACTCTAACTCCCTCTAGTGTAAATAATATTCTGTAAAAAAACAATAAAACTATATTTTATACTTAATTTTAACACTGTAAACATATGATTATGAAGACTCCTTGTCTCTACCATTAGAACAAGATATAACTTACTTCCCGGAAGCTTAATTTGATATCACGATCTTGGTCAGCTGCTATAAGGATTCTGCTGATATTCCACTGAGTGGCAGGGATTCCCAGCTTCACTAACATCACTGACAACTCCCGAAGATCAAGAAAGCCATCCCGATCGCGGTCGTACCTAAAAATACAGGACATTGTAGCTTATCAGAAGAACAAATATATACCTCCAAAATTATTGTTGACTTTATATAATAAAATAGTGTTAGTATAGCACCTTTATCTTTACGTGTTAAAATACACGTAAAGATAAAGGTTCTATACCATCGTTTAACAATAAAGGTTCTATACCATCGTTTAACTTTAACACGTAAAGTACTGTTAAACGATGGTATAGAACCTTTATCTTTACGTGTTAAAATACTGTTAAACGATGGTATAGAACCTTTATCTTTACGTGTTAAAATAGTGTTAAACGATGGTATAGAACCTTTATCTTTACGTGTTAAAATAAACAATATCCACTGTCGCCAGATATGAGAAGAAAAGGCTTACTTATTAAAACAAAACCCCGTAACAGCTGTTACATTCTTGCCTATGTTATAACACTGTAAAATATTGTTTAATAATAGCATTTACAGAGCCTTTATCTCTGTGTTAAAATGTTATAAATTAAAAGTATACAGCCTTTATATAAATAATTAAACTATAGGTTTTTGAAAGATTAATTAAAGTTTTGTATAATATTATAATAAAACATTGTTACGGATTATTATAATGTTAGTAACGGTGACATGTAACCGACTTACGCGTGGAACCATTTCTCAAACGTTTCGCACTGTTCTGGACTAAACTCTGAAAATTCTGGGTAAGGGTGATGAGGCTGATTTAATGGTGCTTTATTAGCTCCTGTATAGCTGTTTTTCAAGCCCCTGCCTTTATCAAAACACGTAGTTAGTTCCTGGACCGAGCTCCTCATTCTAGCTGAGCTGAAAATTTTTTATATGGATGAAATTTTGACATTAAAATTTCTTTACAAAAACAAAGATTACTCAAAATTTGGTAATTTTTAAAATCCAGTATAATCCAATCAGAAGCCTAATAAGCGACCATTACTCACGCGTTCAGAAAGTGTTGCTCAGATACAGTAACTTCAACAGTACTTCGTATGAACGTATTCTTTCAAGTTCGTAATGTGGACAATCAAATTACGAAGATTACATGAGAATCAACCAATCTTCCATCTACCTACTTCAAACTGAAACAAATAAAGATTTTAAAGGTAACTGTCCCATTAATCATTCTAAAGAAAGAATGTGGTAAATATTGTTGTAAACGTGTAATTTCAGTGAAGAGTCCGTAAATCCTACAAATTGTTGTACACTAATTAACAACAAATTGGATAATAAAAATTTTTTTTCTAAGTTTATTGTTGAAAATATCTAAAACTCTCGAATATGTACTTTGAAAGTAAACGACAAGAATCTGATATAGAATTAAAAAGATGAATACTTTAAAGAAAAACTTTTGTTTATTGACGATTAAACAACTAAATATTTTTAAAGGCACAACATTTCGGTACGTTTACCTAGCGACATCGGGTGGTAAGTTTTGAATCGAATCGTACAACAATTCAAACTCTCACGTCCTACAATATCAGTAATGATACTACGTCATTAGATTAACAGAACTCAACAATAGTTAAGTAAGAAATACAAAAATTTTAACTAGAGAGGCACTCAGTAGAGCACATACCTCCGCCATATTGATCATATTCGGCTCTCAAAAAAAATACGAAAATATGTCCATCATTATAAACCGACGCGGACCATTTTTGGCAGGACATTGAGGGATAATATTCTACATATGTCCACCAAGTTTCAACAAAACCATTTTTAAATGAGTTATATAGCAAAAATAGTGTGAAAAATTGGTCCTGATGTTAACAGATAGGGATTTTCTTGACCTTCCGAAAACAAATTACTTCAAAAGTTTGGTCATGTTCCAAATGTATATTAACTCTCGTCCAAATCCATTCTGCCATTTTCGAGAGAACTTGCTGACAAACACACACAGAGGTAATAAATCTAAATATATTTATATCGAAAACAGAACGTGGAAAACTTCTGCTACAAAAAATAGCTAATGTTAAATGGATATTTTAATGCTCACGACGTTTAGGCCTAGAACACTCTTCTTCTTGTAATATTAAACATTTTTCATAGAACAAAATTTTCATTCTTTTGTTTGGGGGTTTCATCTTACCACAGCGGTTGTTTTAGCTATGTTTACAAGTATTAGGAAAAAATATATATCGCTAAATCAAAAACTATGTCTTTCTTAACCTTTCTACGAACTACACTGTATTTTCTTTGTCAATGATTTCAACATGTTAAAAATCAAAGGAGTGATTATATTTAACTACATGTACGAGTACGTGTGAGGGAGCTATCAAATGTTTTTTCAGTCTTGTTGTAAGCTGTCGGTTAGATTCTCTGATGTAAGGACTATCAGTGTATTTACATTATTTAATACACTGCTCCTGACGAGTCATTGTCAACAATCTTCTTGACAAAATATGGCCTAATTCATCCGCTGGTAACAAAAAACATTTGACATTGAAATCCGTGTTTTTAACAGTTTTCCGAAGATGTTTTATCAAAGTACTAATATTAATAAATTAAGTTATAATGGAGGTTCTGTAGCACCACCATACCATAATCAGACAACGAAGGTTGAACAATACTTCTGTTGTCTCTAAACCTCGGATCACTGTTTGATTGTTTAAACGTTTCCCTAATCTTCTTATTATAGAACCAAGCGCCTTTGAGGAAAACATCTTATCCTTAATTGAGAGAGAAAAAAAAGGATCCGAATAAAGAGCTTTAGATATATTTTTAGCTCGATTTGTGGATAACATCTTCTTGTAAGGAATGTGATTTGTATACCTAAATGATCCTGTATAATTTATGAAATCCGTTGCCCAACGTGGAGAATGGTTTATAAATTCCGTTTCTCAACGTGTCTCATTCTAGCTTTCTAAGTGGGAATATACTTCAATTTTTAATTGAATATTTTTTGTCCAATTCTTTAAGGGTAAAATGTTTTATCAAGTCTTCAGCCATCGGAATCATCTCTTGTGTTTCCTGTTGTCCTCATATCTTGCCAATAAGTAAAGTAGGCTTATATAACATTTGATTTTAGGTGTGAAGCTACAAAAAGTGTTAAAGAAAGATCATATTTGTTCACCTCTTCTCTGGTGCACGTGTTCTCAAGTAACGTTTCAATACTTGAGTTTCTCGTTATGCTGATACTATTGTGGTACTATCCATCTACAACAAGAATATTTTACTGTAAACTTCTGCGGATTTCAATGCCTGCGAGATATAACTGGTCTGGTTTAAACTGTAATGAAAGATGGTATATGACATTTTCAGGATTGTTGACTCATAGGCCTCCAGCATCTCATTTCCCCTAACCTCAAATCACATCCTGCATGACACGGCAATCTGGTCACCTGTGGATGTCCTGTTGCCTATATGGATTGTTGTTATCGTCTTTGGTTTTTCTGGTGGTGAACCCATGACGCCCCTAGTTGAGTTGAACGAAGAGAAGAATGACAAAAAAACGTGCTGAACACTCAAGCTCAGTCCTTCCACCAACCATACGATTAACAGGGAGACAACGTTTGTGTGACAACAAATACAGGGCATGTATTACACAGCTCAAGAGTGGCACACTCAAGTGTTCTTGCACACCAAGAGCTGATGTAGAAATTTGAGACCTTTTGTTCATAACACAGCTTTAGCCTGACGCTAGGAGTCTGATGGAGTACTTAAAAAGCCCTGAACCACTGAACATGTGTTGAACAATACGAAGACTCGTGATATTCGCTGAGTTAATCTGTGGGCAAGGAAGTGGCGAATAAAATTTGTTTAAAAAACCACTAGCTAGTTAAGGCTGAGACTGATATGATAATAGTTAGAAAAGTTGTGAAGTTAGAACAGAAATGAAGTTTTTAAACCATGTGATAGGAAAAGACAGAGAGTCTACTCATACAGCAAATATTATGGTAGTGAAAGACTGGCACTAGCATGAGGCCAAATGAAATCCTCACTTTACTATATTTCACTCAGATTATCAATGGTTTCAGACTAATTCTTCCAAGATAATCAGCAATGTATGAATTGATGAGAGCTACATCTTTATGCAGCCCAAATAATACATTCTGAAAAATGCTAAATTAATACGAGAAGGTAGAATACACATGGTATAACTGCATACCACGCTTTTCCTCCTCTTTAATTTTCAAGTTGTCCTCTAACTGCTGACCTTGAGATGTACGATGGCTGGCTCAGGCTAGCTGCTATACAAACATCAGCCTCTAGCCGAGTCAGTCATCGTACATCTGAAGGTCAGAAGTTAGAGGCTGATGTTTGTATAGCAGCTAGCCTGAGTCAGCCATCGTACATCTGAAGGTCAGAAGTTAGAGGCTGATGTTTGTATAGCAGCTAGCCTGAGTCAGTCATCGTATATCTGAAGGTCAGAAAAAGTAATTGCGTGTAATTGATAATGTATACAGCAATACACTTGTACGTACAAGTATACATCTCAAGTCTTGTAAAGATGTGTGGACATTACACGAGGATTAAATCGCACAAATTGAATGATTACACAAATAACACAACCATAAGCACCATGTGATTGGAAATAAAGGATCTGATCTGCTAAATGTGATTACTAACCTATTAACTATTATTTGAAGATTTAGTGTATCTGTTGTTTTCATTAATGTTGCACAAGAATTTTTCAATTTCGACAGTGTAATGTTCTACAGATAATGAATTTTCATGAAAAGTTATGAGTAACGAAAAGAAAACACAGTTTTACCTTGTATTTTTTAATAGAAGTGCGAGATGTTTCGATTGGATCCAATCAAAATATTCATAAACGGATGAAATTATTAATCATGAATGAACTTTACACAGTAACTTAAATATGCTATGAAATGTACATTTGGAGTACCCAGTGCTTTATTGAATGTTAAAAAATATTTTTAATCATGTGGTTTGAAATATTTAGTAAGTAAACTGTTTTCTAAGTATTTTTTTAGCATTGTTTTAATTTAAGGTGCTGTTAAGGCATATCAAAATGTAGGTTGTTAGTGTACTTTCGGAGACGAAAGTTGTGGTGAAACTTCGTAGCTAGTACTAAATTTATTATATATCTGTAAGACAAAAAAGTCCCAATTGAAAGGTGATGTAAGTAATAATGTATTCTCATTATCAGCCATCGTATATCTCAAGGTCAGAAGTTAGAGGCTGATGTTTGTATAGCAACTAGCCAGTAAATAAAGAAGCTATTACAGAAGACCAACAAAGCATGCTCCTTGATGTTAAGTGAGTTATAATTGACCACATTACACATGCTGGGGGGGGGGGGGTCCTGAATGTAAACATAACTGCAGAAATGCTTATACTTGATGGATGTACCTAGAAAAGAAGTCCAGAAAAGAGAAGCCACAGAAAGGTGAAAAGAACCGAAAGATCTCAAACATAAAAAGATCAGACTTGATTCTGACGTTAAGTAGCTCCTTCCACCAACTGATGAAAACTTTGAGAAAGGTGAAAAGGAAAGAAACTTTAGTCTCCTCACAGTGGTCAATTCTCAGAGGATAGTTTTATGAGAGAAGGAATAATTCTTGAAGGCTCTCACAGTGAAAATTGAACAGTAACAGTTAAGCAAGAAATTCTGAAATACGTTAACTTTGAATTCTTTATTTTTAAACATTTCAATTACATTGAACACTACTAGATTAGCAATAAAAAATATTACCACCTTTTCATCATTAAAACATTATTTACCACCATTATATGATATTAACATTTTATAACATGCACTTCCAAGTGCAGTTTCTTGTGTAACTCACAAGAAATGTTCCTTGAATTTGTAAAAATGGTTATTAAAAAGTCATTTAAC